AAGAAATACAGCAAGACAGAATAATAACATAAATAAAGAAATAAAGGAAGGAAGTGAGGAAGAAAGAAAGGAACAAAGAAAGAAAGAACGATAGAAAGAAATCAAGAGAGCAAGACAGCAATAAATACCGAAAAACACGAACGAAATACATAAAACAAAAAAAGAAAGAAAGGAAGAAAGGAAGGATGGAAGGAGTTTAGGGTTCCGCTCGCTTCGCACGTTCTTGGTTGACCCTAAAGACCCTACGCCTTAAACCATAAACCCTAGACCCCCAAAACCCGTATGTGGAACCTGTGAGGATACAACAAACACCCTTCGGCACAGCGGCCGGGCAGTAGTAAACCCGAAGGATTTAGGTTTGTAATTAGGGTTTAGGGTTTGAAAGGTAAGGGATTACGGCTCTAGCCGGGGTCCGGTGTTGTTTTTGCCTAGCTGTTAGATCAAACAAATCCCATTTGAAAACTATTGTGTTTGCAAATGGGGGGGGCTGCACCCCCCCCAACCCCCCCGCTTTTTTATAAGCCGCCCAAGCGTGCTTCTGGTTCATACGAATCCCTTGCAAAACTCATCTTGCGGGATTGTGTCTGCAAATGGGGAATTCCCGGTGTGCAAGCGTGCTTTTAGTCTTTAGTTCAACGAATCGCTCCCAAAACTCATTTTGCGAACATCGCTTTGCAAATGGGGGGGGGGGGAGTGGGGGGCCCCAAACCCCCCCGGCTTTTTGAAGGCGCGCAAGCTTGCTTTAAGACAATAAGAATCCCGTCCAAACCCATCATGCGAGCACCATGTTTGCATTATTTTTTTTGGGGGGGCGGGGTTGCTACCCCAAGGGTCATTAGATGTGGTCAGGTTCCGGACATGCGGTACCGCTGAGGAGCCTGCGGAAGCTGAAAACCAGCAAAATTCACCAAAAAAACCAGGAAAATACACAGAAAAGAATTCCAACCAGAGGAGGAGGATAGGCAGAACCAGAGGGCATGTTCAGAAAACCAAAAGAAAAGCAAGGAAAAACAAAAAAAATCACAAAAAAAAAACCAGAAAAATTGACAAACAAAATCCTCGCTCCTGAAGTCAGCCCTAAATTGGAGCAATCGCTTGGGGCTGGCACCGCCAGCATGCAGCCTCCCTTTGTAGACATGCCGCTCGTAGCAGGGTTTCGGGCCTAGGGGTGACAGGGTTACCCCTGCCCATGGCATAAAGATCCCATACATGTCGGATGATAGCCATAGGGTTCACACGCTCTAGGCTTGGAGTGCTTTAGGGCCTACAGGGTTTAGGGTTTTCGGGTTGTACCTGGCCCTGCCCAGGCGTGATTTCGCGCCTCGAGGCATGCTGGGTGTGCTTTTTGGGTGCAGGTTCTTTGGCGCTGAGTGGGCATCTGCCCTAAACCCCAAACTCTAAACCCTAAAGCCTTAAACCCCTAAATCCTAAACCCCTTGCAATAAGACAGTCTTGCCAAGGAGTCCTTGGAGTGTAGAGGGTTCGGGTTTAAGGTTTTGGGATCCCCCCTCCCCAAGATCAAGCCTCCTTGACCTCACAGGGTGTGTGGCTTGGCGGTTTAGGGTTTAGGGCCGTTTCGGGTTTAGGGCCGTTTCGGGTTTAGGGTTTAGGGTTTCGGGTTTAGGTTTAGGGTTTAGGGTTTGGAGGCTTTAGGGTCTAGGCTGTGGTGAGGGTTCAAAGGTTACGCTGCAGTGGTTGCCCTTTTGGGCCACTGTAGGGGTCTAGGGTATTCAAAGTCAACCATTTGTGCGGTTGATAGGGTGTTTGCGGAGCACGTTGAGAGTTCCCTGCAGGGTGCTCAGATTAGACCTGTCATGCTGGGGACATGCTTCGGAAGGTGAACTGTGTGGTGTCTTCCTTCTTGTATTTGTTTTCCTCTCTCTCTCTCTCTCCCACACTCTTGCTCTCTCTCTCTCTCTCTCTTCTGCTTCTTTGTGTCTGTCTATATATTAATATCTATCTATCTATCCATCCATCCATCTATCTCTCTCTCTCTCTCTCTCTCTCTCTCTCTTATGCCCCTTTAGCAGTGTTTAGCTGGCACTTGGGTTTGAGGATGCTGAGCCTTCCCTCAACCCTGAACACCTAAACCCTAGACCCCAAGGCTGAAGGTCAAGAGCATTCAACCCCACACCTTCCACCAGCCGAAGCCCATTTCGCTGCAGGACGTGGAGGCCGACATGGCCATGAGTCTGAGCCAGATGTGCTCCGGTCAGCATGAGTTAGCCCGAAGCCCTAAGCCCTAAGCCCTAAGCCCTAAACCCTAAGCCCTAAGCCCTAAGCCTAAACCCTAAACCCTAAACCCTAAACCCTAAGTTTTGGCGGACAGGTTTCGGCCTAGATCAAAAATCGCGGGCTCTCTTGGAACCTGAAACGGAAGAGTCGCAACAAGGTTCCATCATGTCGACCCGCCGGCAATTGAGAGCATCCGGGGTTATGGTAGACGTATCGTATGGACTGAGCCGTCACAATACCCTCAACCCCCAAAGCTACACAGCAACCAAGAAAGAGGGCCCTGATTTAGAGTCATTCGAGACCGGAAAGTTTAGAGGCCCTAAGCCCAAACCTTCAAGCCCCCAACAGAAGCCCTAATCATGAGGCCCTAATCCCTGAACCCCAAACTTTAAACCCTAAGCTCTAAACTCTAAACCCTAAACCCCAAACCCTAATCCTTGACCCCAAGCCTTAAACCTCCCAGAAAACTCAGTCAGAATCTTCCGCCCAGGCGCTCCTCAGAGACGACGGTCTGCACCCCAGAAAGGTTTAGGGTTGCGGGTTTAGGGTTTAGGGTTTAGGCTGGAGGGTCTACAGTGCTTAGAACTTAGGCTTCTAGGGGGCTTAGGAGTCAGACTTCAGCGTCGACGACTTAGGTGCAGGGTTTAACCCTAAACCCTAATTAAACCCTAAACCCTAAACCCTAAACCCTAAACCCTAAACCCTAAACCCCTACAACTCTATAACCCTAAAACCTTAAACGCCACCAACCTTGGGGTTGACTTAGACGTTCTGAGCCCTAAGTATAAAAAATAGATGACAGGCATGTGTTCTGGGCCCGGCTCGCAGTGGTTGTGGATAAGGTTCGGGATTCTTCGTGCCCTGAACCCTAAACCCTAAACCCTAAACCCTAAACCCTACACCCTACACCCTAAACCCTAAACCCTAAACCCTAAACCCTAAACCCTAAACCCTAAACCCTAAACCCTAAACCCTAAACCCTAAACCCTAAACCCTAAACCCTTTTCAGGGCCTGTCGCTTATGAGGTTTCCGGTTCCCTTTTGCTTGCGGGAGGCCGAGATGGGCTACAAGAAAGACATGCAGGACATGAAGCTCGAGCGGACCCAGAAGGATTGGGGAGTCAAGTCGGGCTTGGGGTGGAGGGTCCTGAGTGCCGAGGTGGCCTGGGAGTCAGGTGCAAGGGATGAACGCAAGGTCTCCTAAAACAGCTAGTTTGGCAGTCTCTGAGGCCCCTGAACCCTAAACCCTTGACGTCCGTATATGGTCAGGCATCTGGCGTGTCCACCCTCCGCCCCCCCCTCCCCCCCCCCCATAAACCCTAGATCCGGCAGTGGCTCTCCCGAATTTCGGGCTTTTTGGATCAGAGCTCATGCCATTGCCGCAGCGTGCCGCCCGTTTGCGTCTTGGCCTGGTTGGGGTTATCTTGGGTTTGGGTCTTTTTGGAGCTTTTTCGTTTTTTTTCCGGCATCTGTAGGGGCTGTTTGAGGGTATACAAGGGCCTTTGTGGCTTGCAGGTGGCATCTAGAGAGTCGGGCACGCTAGCAACAATGCTCGTTGTAACAGAGCATCTCGTAAGCATCTCGTAAGCTCCTCTTCCAAACCCTAAACTGTAGACCATGGTGAATACTACGGGACTGCTTTCAAGAGGACCTTCTACTAACAGAGGCTAATTTAGAAATCTCCGGTGGGGCTTGCAGGGATATTGACCAAGGTTTCGGGTCAAGGGTCTATGCTTTCGGGCTTTCGGAAGTTGAGGCCAGCACGAAAAGTCCTTGAAGCCGGTCGACCCCTTGTGCACCATGGTGCCCATCATTACCGGCTTACCGTTCATCACGCATCTGGGCCTGCAAAGCCCCCGAAACTCTTACTGTTGGTTAGGAGGGAATGGGGGACTACGGTAACATTTTTCCCGCTATGTAATCTCTTTAAGGGAATATAGATATATATGTATACATAGATATATATATATATAGGGGGAGATATGTATTCTATGTACCTTGTTCCCCCATTCCCTCCTAATGTAAGAGTTTGGGTTATATGAATGGCCCTTGGCCCCCTCCGTCCTAAGTGAAGTATTCGAAACCCCGAAAGAAACCCAACAGCAATACTATCCCTGTATTCCTGTCATTGAAGCTTCCAGTGCAACCTCAAGGGTTTATGGTTTGAAGTTTGGGGTTTAGGGTTTAGAGTGATCCTTGGGATAGAGTTGAGCGATAAGAACAGGATTTGATTGTTTCTTGGCCCAAGCTCTTGCAGAATCTGAAAATTTCAGACATGCCAGGAAATTCCTAACCTGAACCGCCAAACCCTGGACGCTTCTTGAGCTCTAAATCTGCAGGTATAGCTTGCTGGTGCTTGGCTTTCTATGTGCTTGCGCTGTCTTCGTGAAGTGCCATCAGTGTTGCTGAACCGCACCTTAGAGTTCAGGGCTCAGGGCCAGACTTGCAGACTAAATTGCAAACGCTGAAGGCTACACCAGGCCCTGGAATCCACGTACGCTAAAGCGCACCAAGCCCTGAAGGCCCAGCCCCAAGCCATCCACCCGTAATAACTTCCAAAGCCCTGAGCTCAAAGCTTACAAGCGGGGCCACTACTCTTCGAACGGTCCAGGGACAACGAGACAAGACTTGGTGTATCCTGTTTTTGTGCAGATCCAGGCTGGAGCAATAAGCAGACGGGCGTCTCCGCAGGGGTCAGATTTCGCGAGGTGTGCCGGTTCGCATCAATGGCTTCTTTGCTCTTTCTCCTCAGTGCCTTCAGCTTCATGGCAAACAACTCTGCCAATTGGTTCGAGTCTCCCGTGGCTTCTCACAAACATCCATGTGGTCTTAGCATTCCACCTGGTCACGCCAGCAACAACTCTGCGCAGTACCACAGCGACAGCTGGATTTGGGTGGATCTTGAACCGTATACCTTGGAGGAGAGGCCGCACGAGATTCAGACGAAGAAGTGGGAGTATGACGAGGCATGCCTGAACATTTATACCTACGACATCGTGCGGGCCTCTTGGGCAGATAATTGCTCAAGCTGGTGCGAGGAGCACTTTGGCAATTTCGTGTGGAATCAGCTGTGCGCGTTTGGCATGGTGCCTGAGGAGATCAATAAACCCATGAATGTGCTCCGAGCTTGTCAGAAGGCCACTGTTTTTCATTACAACGTGCAGTTGACAGCTGGACAATGCTGGTTGATTGGCATGGGAATCACTCTGTTGCTTGGCAGTCTAAGGGCCTGTATAAGATACAGGCCTGTTTCAGATAGCGTTTCTAAGCCGATTATTCACCCTAAGCCTCACAGGAAGCTTGCTGCGGCCAAGGATAAGCTTCGTCGCTGCTGTAGCCTTGTTACGCGTCGAGGAGCTTCCTCCCAGCAAGTTCGAGACAGCAGAAGAATTAGATGGCAAGCTGAAATTGGCCCCCTTCGTAAGCATACCGGGCTTTACGAGGTTGACGGAGATCCGATTTGGCATATTCAAGATGGTGATCTCTTTGATGGCCGATGTCGTCTCAGACTTTGTGTCGGGCTTGCTATATGTGTTCAAGGGCCAAGTTTTCTTTGGAGCATTCACCATGTTTATTGTTGCGATGGGGAACATGGACGACATGTTTGGGGTGACAGCACTTGCCAACGCAATTCTCTCCATGAAAACTGCGAACCCTGCGCCTCAGTTGATAGTCAGGAAAGCTAGGGAACTCACTGAGGCCAGTGCCATTGTCACTTGTGCGGTGTTTTTCCTGTTGAAAGTGCCGACTCATGATATAGATGACCGACCAATGCTATCGCCGTTCGACCTCTTCACCTTCCTTCTGTCCCTCGTGACGAATGTGCAGGGCATTTATGAGGGCGCAGAAGCTTCTATCCAGGCACATGTGCTAAAGCTGCACTCAGATGCTGTCATGGACATGGACCTGCGGTACGAGCTCTTTCGATCAAGATCGGCCGAGATGACGACCTTCGCAGTTGCGGCCACGATTGCGCGACTTTCGGGAGGACTGGCAATGGCCATGGTGCTCCAGGCCTCGGAAACTCCGTTTGTGACGGTGCGTGCTATGCTTGCAGAAGGCGCAGCGCCAGCCATCATTGCAGGGATTGTGCTGTGCTGTGTGACCATGATCCCCAAGTGGTGGCATCGCGGCGTCAGGGTTCCGGATGCAGCAGTTCTTCAGCAGCTATTCCTTAATGTCAGCGGTTTCCTCAGCTTCGCAGGATTGAACTGTGCCGCTGGTACATACTTGGATGATCTGAAAAAGTCGGGAGGTTGGGACAAGTCCTTGCCGTGGAGTGACTTGTGGTTCCATTTATCCAAGTCTGGCATCCAAGTGGACAGGACAAGCGAGAAGTCATGGGAGGTGCTCACGATGCAGGGTGCCCAATGGCTTCTGCTGTGGACCGCGGAGATTGCGACCGGCTTTTACTTGTCTCGTGTGGCGGCCGCCATCGTCTTCATGGTACTCTTGAAGACCCATGTAGAGCAGGCAAAAAGTGAACTCTTCGACGATGGTGACTACGAGAAGCTCCAGCGCTTGAACCCATAATGAGACCGCTGATTGATAGCACCCCTCCTTTCGTAAGGGTTGTTTATACTAGGGATGTGCGTATTTTCGCTCTTAGCAGGCTTATTCATGAACCTTACAATGGCTTCCCTGCAATAATTCGAGGTGAGAGTTGCTGGGATGGCTTGTTCACAAAGTGAGCAGACCCCGGCACCGAGGGCTAAACTTGAAGGGTCATGGGTTCTTCAAAGTAGTGTTGGAAGCGGAACCGGCGCACTTCTACCGCTTATCGCACCAGCTCTGTTGATTTGAGCTCTCAAGCAGAACTCATCTGCACCTTGGGAGCAAAGATCTCGTCTAGCAGGACAAAGAGACTGAAAGGCTGATCTGTCCGCCGTCGGAGTGTTTGCGCCGAAATCTGCAAATGGTGAACTCCTGTGCTATCTCTCTACTCTATATTTTTCTTGGGAATTATTTTCTGCTTTTGCTTCTATAAAACCCAAGAGGATAGTGAATATATCATTTTTATTAAGGTTCTAAGGGGAGTATAGTACTAGGGTCTGTGGTGTTGAGGGAGCCCCCGATTCCCTTGCACCTCGTGGCGAATTGTTTTGACTGGCTCAATTCAGAATAATTCGGCCGCTGCCTTCAGTTGCTACAGCCTGAAGCTTCCTACCTGAATCCTAAACCTTAAATGTCCCTCAACCCTGCATCCTAAACCCTAAACCCTGAATCCTAAACACTAAACCCTAGCACCTAAATCGAAGCTTTGAGCCCCGCACTGTAATCCTCAAGCTCCAAACCTCAATCCGTGTTCACGATTTGCACGTGATTTTGGTTTCAATGTGAACTGGCGTCGTTCTTGCATGGGCCGAGATTGCCGATGCAGGGCTTTCGGGCGACTCGATAGACCCACAGGGCTGCAACAGACCCTTAAGTAAGAAATATCACGTACATCATAGACGGAGAAGCCATTATTTGGAGAATATTCCTTATACATATCTATACATGTATAGAACTTACATTGCAGGGCTTATACGGTTTTTTAGAGAGATCTTTAGTGGGTATTGGTTCTGTGGGCCTGCCTCGTCGAAGCGCTGTCCGCGACTCGCAGAAGAAAAGTTCTCTGCCACAGAGCAGACAAGTTTGGACACTAGAAGCCCTAGAAGACCCAGAAGCCCCAGAAGCCCTAGAAGCCCTAGAAGCCCTAAACCCTAAACCCTAAACCCTAAACCCTAAACCCTAAACCCTAAACCCTAAACCCTAAACCAGCTCCGACTCCTAGAAGCGCCCTCAACCCTCATGAGCTCGTGGGCTGCGAGGGCCTTTCTGAATCCAAGCCCTAAACCCCAAACCCTAAACCTTAATCCCAAAACCCTCAACCCTAAACCCTAGACCCTAAACCCTAAACCCTAAACCCTAAACCCTAAACCCTAAACCCTAAACCCTAAACCCTAAACCCTAAACCCTTTTCGTGTGCGACCCCAATTTGCAGATGAGGGGTTTAGCGGTGCTCAGGGGTCAGGAGTCGAAGGGGCTGCCGTGGAATCTCATGAAGCGCTGTTGGTGGCTCAAGGTCCCATTTATCCCTAGAAGCGATTCGAGAGGAGGCGCAAGAAACCGAAACCCTAAACCCGAAACCCTAAACCCTAAACCCCTCAACCCTAAACCCTACCTTCCCGCAGACTCGGACGCCAGACCCTTAGCTTGAAATCTTAAACTCAACCCCTCAGCAGCAGGAGAAGGACATTCAATACAAGACCTCTGAAGCCCAGAGGACGGGCCAAGGGTTCGTGGTTGAGGGTTGAGGGTTCGTGGTTGAGGTTTGAGGGTTTAGGGTTTAGGGTTCATGTCTGAGGTTTGAGGGTTGAGGGTGTGTGGGTTTAGGGTTGAGGGTCGAGGGCTGAAGGTTTGTTGGGGGGCTTTCTGGCGCTTTCAGGGGATGTTGAAACCCCAAGCCCCAAGCCCCAAACCCCAAACCCCAAGCCCCAAGCCCCAAACCCCAAACTCGCCCTAAACCCGCTTTTGCAGCTTTTGGGTTCGGAAGCTGACGAGCAGTTGAGGGTTTGAGGGTCTTGGACTGAGGAGGTTTAATGGGGTTTAGGTCGGGATGTTCCCCCCGTATACTAACAGTCCTTATTAGGGATTGGGATGATAGTACCCCTTATTGAAATCCCTATTAAGGACTGTTAGTATAAGCGGGAACATCCCACTGTTTAGTCTTTAATGCAGGAGCCCGCAAAAACACCACAGTTGTGCGCGCACACTTCGCATTTGGTTAGCATGAAAATTGCCCAACATGCTCATTCTTTTCGAGTAGGCCTGGCTATATTGGGCCTGTCGAAGGTGTCGTCAGTTCTATCGTCAAGATTTCGACATCCCTAAAAGCGAGCCTTCCCTTCCTCGCAACTCCGTCCCTCCCACCCCACCCCCCTCCCTACAGAGTAAATTCCACCGAAACGCTACAACGATGAGACCTGCTATCCAAAGCAGCACCCCTGAACCCTAAACCCTGAAGCCTAAACCCTAAACCCTAAACCCGAAACCCTAAGCCCAAAACCCTAAAACCCTAAAACCCTAAACCCTAAACCCTAAACCCTAAACCCTAAACCCTAAACCCTAAACCCTAAACCCTAAACCCTAAACCCTAAACCCTAAACCCCAAACCCCAAACCCCAAGCCTGAACCTCCCCTGCCCATCCAGGTTGGACTCTGAGTTAAACAACCTCAACTCGGACAAGGAGAGCTGGGGCCCTCAGTGTAGCAAAAGATGCAAAGCTCGGCAAACCCTACAAACCCCATATAAACCCTCTATCAACCCTTTGTGAGCCCAAAAAAAACCTATACAAGCCCCCATCCGAACCCTATTAAGAAACACTATAGAAACCACCCAGTTTTAAGGGTTCTTCAGCTCCAGGCCCGAAGGCCTCACGGGTCTTAGGGGTTCAGGGGTTAGGGTTTAGGAGTTGGGGTTTTTTAGCGTGCGGGGTTGGGGCAGAAGCGTTTGGAGTGTGGGGGGTGTTGGGTTTGGGGTTGAGGGTTCTTAGTTCTTGGCTTCTGGCTTCGAGTTTTTTTTGTGGAGCTCTACAAGCCTAACCCCCGAATGCTGGATGCAAGGGTTGAGGGTGTGCATCGCAAAATGCAGCCTCTTGTAGCTTAGTCCGCATGGACGCCCATAATCTGGTATCCTTAAAGGCCCTTAGTAAGCCTTATAACTATTATATATACAAGTAGGGTGCCGGTCCATGGGGACTCCGAGATCTTGAGGTCTTGAGACGGAGATGGGTGCCTTGCTCGAGTTCACCAAGGGACTGTGCGGACCCCGGGGCGTGCGGACTTCAAGGGCAGGGTTAGGGTTCAGGGCTTAGGGCTTAGGGTTTAGGGTTTAGGGTTTAGGGTTTAGGGTTTAGGGTTTAGGGTTTAGGGTTTAGGGTTTAGGGTTTAGGGTTTAGGGTTTAGGGTTTAGGGTTTAGGGTTTAGGGTTTAGGGTTTAGAGTTTAGGGTTTAGGGTTTAGGGTTTAGGGTTTAGGGTTTAGGGGTCCAGGATTGAAGGTTGTTGGGCTTTCTGTTTGGGGTTTAGAGGTTTTGGAGCCGGGCTTCAGAAGTGCAATCGCAACGGCTTCCGGCCAATTGCCAAAAAATAGGGGGACCCAACCACCCAACATGATAATCCTTGTCCTTACTGTAGGAATTGCCAGAAAGGGCACCGCTTCCCTTTTGGATGCTCCCGCCGGGTTCGGGGGCTGAGATTGAAGGTTCTCTGATGTGGGTACGATTCATAAACGGCGGTATATGATGACGATGGATCCTTTAGCAGGTCCTTGTAGGGCAAACAAAAGCTTCGATGAGACTGATCCAAAAAAGAAAGCTATTGTCGACCACTACTTCTGAGGGCGGCACAGGCAACAGGATGAAACCAAGAATCATTAAGCCAACCGCTACTTATGAGGGCGGCACAAAAACCGGAACCAGGAATTGTCACGAGTGCTGGAACATGAACACGTGCTTGGCAAGGAGATTGGATCCTTTATTTTGCCCTATGTAAGCCCTGTAAGTCTCATGCTTGCCCTATAAACCTTGTTTCCCCTGTGCACCCTGTAACCCCAAATCCCTCAAGCGCCGCTGAGGGTTCGGGCTGCAGCCCTAGACCCGAAACCCTGCTAAACCCTAAACCCTAAACCCTAAACCCTAAACCCTAAACCCCAAACCCTAAACTCTGAACCCAAAGACGAGAACCCCCTGCGCAGGGAGGCGGAGTGCCTAGTGACCCCTGAGAGCTTTGCGGAGAAGCAGGCTCCTGAAAGACGGGGGCCTCTTTCGGTTTTTTGGGTTTTTTTTGCGTTTTTCAAGGTTGTCAGGGTTTTTATGAGTCTTTTCGGGGAGTTGAGTGGCTTCAGGGTCTGAGGGTTGCTGGGGCGGGGGGTTTTAGGGTTCTAGGCCTGGGTTTTATCCCGGGTGGCGCCAAGGCTGTCAGGGCTTGTGCGTGCAGGGATTTGGGGGGTGCCTGCACCAACACCCTCTTCTCCAGCAAAGTGCCAAGCCGGCACCCCGGACCTCTGCGCTTGCCCAATCTACGAGAGGGGTTGTGTCTGGTCAATGTGGGCGCTACATTGCCTGTATAGTCTTAGCTCCCAACATGTAGCCGAGGACCTCGGTGGGTAGGGGCGGGTTGTCTACAAGGAATGTGCCTATCATAGAGGCCCAAAGCAGGGACCCCATAAGTTAGACCAACCTCCCCCCCATGCTGGGCAGAGCTTGTCCAGTGTCTGCATGGGGGCTTTAGGGGCTTCGGGCCTCGGGAATCAAGCGCCTGCCAGGCCAAGAGGCAGCAAGAGATCGATGGGTGCCTCGACGACCTTTGGTAACATCTTGTCGTCTTCGGTTTGCGTTATAGTTTCTCATGTTCGCTGCGGAAGATTAGAGGCAATGAGTGTGTGGCTCATGTGGTCGTTCTCTGGTGTGTGTTGCCGTGGACATGGGAACGGGGGCTATAGGCATACGATGTTTGGGGTTCCAGAGCGGCTGATGTTGTAGACCCCTTT